GTTTATATATGTATAAGAACCATGATTTTACTTTTTTAAAAAATCATTTCTGAACAATATCAATAACCCCCATACACATCTCACTTTGAATGAGAGACTTCCAGGAGTTCAATTTGCTGAAACATCATTTCACTTCAAAGGTCTTAGAGTTCCAGAAACTAACAGCGAACTCATCTGAAGGGAAGCCAGTAGTGAAACTTACTTTGTAGAGGAAGAAAGGTGATGCTGGACCCTCAGGACAAAATGGAGGCTGCAGCCAACAGCCCTCCTCCCCACAGGACAAAGGCCAAAGGAATACCCAAGGTCAGCCCAGGCCCCCACACCACACCCCCAAATGAGACTGCACTTCAAGATAGAAAAGACTGGAAACAATGACGAACATGTTGAGGGAGTTACAAAATGATATCAAATGCTAATGTCCCAACTTCCAGCTGGGTGTCTCCTACCCACAGAGGGCTTTACCCATCAACCTCAGTGTTGTAACTTGATGGAAATCACTTACCAGCTCATTATTTCAAGTTCACCAAATACACCGACGGGCCTTTAAACAGAACTCCTGCCAGGTCAGGATTCTACTAGCAGTGATGCCCTCAAGAAGGCAATGCATCCTATAGTTGAAAGGGTAGTAATGTTTTACCGAACTTAAACTCCATTCTGACCAGTTATTCCTGCACGTAAACACCTGAGCAGTTTTCTAAAAACCCTGGGACTGACACTCAGAGGAACCATGAGGATAAGGGGTTAATGGTGCCTTGGAAAACTTGGAGGGACCATGAAAAAGAAAGATTAACGACTGCCCTGATCTCTGTAACAAGCCCATCTCATCCCCCGCAACAGATTCCTCCCTCACCTCTGTAGCAGTTCACATCAGCCCTGGTACCAAAAAGTGGAGCCAAGAGAATGTGGGGTTTTTTTAATTTAGTTTTTTGGGGTTTTTTTGTAGTTTCTGTAGTCTGTGCCTATATAAGCCAGAGAACAACAACAACAAAAAAACTGGTGCTGGGCTCTTTTCGGCTCGGCCCGCCTACACCCAGGCACACGCAATAAAGTTATTTTGCTCTACACTGGCCTTGCGTTGTGGATGTGATCTCCCGATGGATCAGACCCTGTAATGGTCATTTAGCTACCTGGGCAAACCTCAACAGCAAGGTCTTCAAGACAAGTAAACAGTACATCATGATGCAAAATCATGCAAAGCAGCTAAATATCAGAACATGTAAAAATCTTGAACTAATAAGAAAATACATACTTTGACTTATGAATGCCTAGGCAGACTCACACTCACCTGAAGCTGAGAGCTCTAGCCATACACAAGGTCAACTGCCACACTGCTCACTGCAATGCTCAGCCATACACTCCCATCACCCAGCAGGCAGGTGGCACACTGATGAACTAGGGTGAGTCAGACAAGCTGTGTGTGAAGCTCCTCCCTCGGCTTTTGGAGGAGGCTAGGAATTGCTGGGGGCAACCAGGCCCAAGGCTCTTCTACCACGTGATGGGCCTTGAAATTCAATGGCCCAGGAATCAGTGTCCAAGCCAAAGCCCAACAGATGTGGTCAAAGGCTGACCATGAGGTGGCCCAACAGCAGAAGGCCGCCAAGCAGGCTGTGCTGGAGGAGTAGGCATCTTCTAATGGGCAATTCTGAACCACATGTCACATGTGCAGCATCAGAACTTCACTCACCTTGTCCACTGTGGTAACCTTGGAAATACTCCTGCTAACCAACTGGAACCACTTGCCCAGCAATTCCTTCAGGCTTAGCCTATCAAAAGCAACAGCAGTAGCAGTAGCAGCAGCAACGACAACAAAACCAGATTCCAAAAAGAACAAAGGGGGCTATGGAGCTTCAGGAGAACAGGGCCCTGGATGGTAATCCATCCGGGGTGACTATACTCCCGGAAACAGGCAGATCAAAGTTTAGGGTGGCTACCCAAAGGATTGGGCTGAGACTCTCCCAGTTCTCCATCCACTCAGATGAGGACATGGTTACCACAATGGAATACCAATGGACTAGGGAACTGGATCTATACCCCCCAGATTCAATCCACCAATAATCCCATAACCTCCATATTTATGTCCTCACTTCACACAATTCATTGAACATTCACTAGGAAGGAAGGCCCCACTGTATCAACTCTGCATAAAGATAGGGCTAACTACTCTCCAGGAGCTTACACTTTATGGGGCTGGGAGAGACAAACACAGAGATGCCTAGAACCTAAGACACCTGCATAAGATGCCCAAGAGGTATAAAGTGATATGAAATTGAAGATAATTCACCCTCTCCTTATGAGGCTAGGGAAAACAGAAAGGAAGAAATGGCCTGAGAACCAAACCCTGAAGGAAGTACACGACTTTAACAGACAGGCAGAGGACAGGAAAGAGCGTTCTAGGTCAAGGGCAGTGATGTTAAACACACTATGTGCCAGTTGTCTGACCTTCCCAATGTTCTGGTACAGGGGAGAAGGGAGCAGAGAAGGGAGCAAGATGGTGGAACTGAGGACAAGGACCAGTCTCTTGGCTGTGATCCTCCCCACAGGGCTCAGGACCTGGCTTACAACAGATGCTCTGGATGTGTCACGTAGAGGTCATGGTGAAGCCCCATGCGGGCCACTGTCATAAGAGCAGATGAGCACTTCATAAGATGACAATGTGCCCTGGCCAGTTTGACTCAGCGGTTAGAGCGTTGGCCCGTAGTCCAGAGAGACCGGGTTTCAGTTCCTGCTAAGGGCATGTACCTCGGTTGCAGTTTGTTCCCAACCCCGGTTGGCGTCATATGGGTGGCAGCCAGTTGATGTGTCTCTCTCACATCGATGTTTCTCTCTCTCTCTCTCTCTCCCTCTCTCTCTCTTGCTCTATCTGAAGATGAATACAAGAAGTGTCCTCGGGTGAGGATAAAAAATAAAAGACGACAATGCACCACTTGGGAGGTTGACAGAGGGGACAAGACAAGGGCAGCTACGATCATTCGGCCCTGGGGAGCAGGTAAACGGGGCAAGCCGGTAGGTCAAAGGGAAGGATCAGTTCTAAGAACATTCTAATGACGGGACCAACAGGACTTAGCATATAACATAACTTAATAAGCTTATACAAGTGGGTAAAGAAATCCAAGTCACAAAGTCCTAGAGGAAACCATGGCCTCAGATGGAGAAAGCATCTCCCTGGAGAGAGCATGACAAGGAAGTACATGGACATGCTGAACACTTGTGTGGATTTGAATGGTTAATCTACTTGCAAAGTATCCATGACCAGATTCTCCTCCTCATCCCCTCTAGACACATTTCTGGTACCACACCAACTGACACTGCTGGGCACTCAATAAATACCCAGAAAATGCATGAAATGAATAAACCAACAGTAAAGAGCAGAAAATACAATATTCAAGTAGTGTTGTCATCTCACAAAAGAATGTTGATAGGGAAAGTGGATGCCACTGAGACTGGGGTGAGATAACCCAAAAAAACCCAATGGAGATCGCTCTAGGATCAACTGGTAACTTCATGGAATAAAGTATCTGGAATCCACTGTTTGGGGGCTCTAGCCTAATTGGGGGCTTGCAGATTTTTATTTAAGCAAATACATAAATATAAAACAAAGGTCAGAGGAATATGCATGACCAAGTTTTAAGTAAATGGTTTAATAGGAAAACTGTCCTGGCCAGTGTGGCTCAGTTGGTTGGGCGTTCTCCATGCACCAAAAGGTGGCCGGTTTGATACCCAGTCAGGGCACATGCCAGGGTTGTGGGCTAGATCCCTAGTGGTGGGTGTGCAGGAGGCAGCCTATTTACATTCCACTCTCACACTGATGTTTCTCTTTTTCCCTCTCCCTTCCTCTCTCTGAAAATCAATATAAATATTTTATTAAAATAGGAAAACTAAGATTTCTAATTGTACAGATTTCAGTTACCTGTCCTTTAGCTATTCACTTTATCCTGGCATTTGAAATCTCAGCTTCTGGTCCCAATTTTGCAGCTGAGGCACTGAATCCCAACAGAAGAGCCAGAGAACACATGTTACACTAACCCTGGGAATTCCCACTGCCAACCAGACTAGAAATAAGTGACACCAGGACAGGGCGGCAGGGGACTGGTGGAAGGGCACCGCAACAGGAGTCGCTCTGTTTCACCCTGTCCTGGGGGAGCCTTGGCCATTCCTTCTGCAGCACATGCTGAGCTGAGCCCGTTTACCACACGGGCCCCTCCCACTTAACCAGGCTGACTGGGGACCAAACTTCATCTATGTATGCAAAATAACTTTGTAAAATAATGTATTTCCAAGAACTATCATTAGAGGATGATACCATTTTTTTAAAAGAAAAGAAAGACAGAAAGCCAATAAAGTCAAAGAAACTCCACATAAGGACAAAGATATTCCACTTGGCTCCCCAAATACTATCATCAATATAATTAACTTGACTGGCCACAGAAAACCCACTAAGGTTCAAAGATTCCCGCCAACAGCACGACAACCCCTCCTACAAACACGTGGGGCCAGGCCTCGCCACTGTCAGGTGCACCTCTCCAAGAGCACCCCCGGACTCCCAGTGTCCACCAGGCCTGTGGAAGGGCCTTGAAAGCTCCGGTCTTCCCTCCACTCCCTCCCCTTCCCTCCGGGGAGTCCACTCGGGCGGGCGCCCAGCTAACACCTCCCTGGAGTCCAGCTGCGGGCATGTTCAAGGCAGCTGTCCCCGGCTTCCCAGGACAGTGAGGAGACCTCTCTGCAGCCCCAGGACGCCCAGTTCCGGGTGCCCAGCGGGATCCCAGGGCCAAGTCTCCTCCACCCCACGGAAGCCCAGACCCGCCGGGCTGCACTTGCACGCTGATGTCGGGCGCACAGGAGTCTTTAGAAAGCCGCCCCGCAGCCCCACTTCCAAACGGCCCTCAGGGGGCAGGGCAGTGGCCGGGAAACACGCAGCCCGCCCCTTCCGGAACCCAGCCCTCGGGAACCAGGGCGCCCTGGCAGAGCCCAGCACGAGCCCACCGCCGCCCGGAGATGCTCACCCGCACGTGATTCTCCACCGCCGCACGGCCCGCAAGCTTCTTGGCCTCCTCGGCCTTGGACATCGTGGAGGGGGCCGGGAAGACGCTGCTGGCTTCCACACCGTGAGTGCTTGCTTGTCCCGCGCCGAGTATCCCTGGCTGAGCGCACCCAGGCGGCTGCACATGGGAGGCCGGCACGCCCCAAGTGTTCCCGCCTCCTCCAGATGCCGCGCCCCCAGCCCGCCCGGGCAGTGGGGCTAGGACCCGCCCGTAGAGGGTGCTGAAGGGCCCAGGGCGCTGCATCCTGACACCTGGCTAAGGCCTCAGCCGCGGTCCGCCCCGGCTTCTTCCGGAAGTATGGTCGTCACGCATACGACGTCGCCGGCGCAATCCTTCCTGGGAAATGTAGTTCCGTGGCTTCTGCAGTCCGAAGACGTACCCCAGGCTGGACTACCAGCCCCACAATGCTCCGCGACTGAGTACGCAAATATCCAGCGACTGGCTTTGGCGCGTTGGCCCTGTGGCGAGAGTAATCGAGGTTTGAGTGAGTCCTGAAGGTGTTTCTGTTTCCCCGCGCTTCTGAGGTTGGGCTCTTAGACCTGCGCCTGTAGTTTTCCCAGCGGTAAGAATGTGGCAGTGGACTAGGCCTCAGAGCTAGACAGTCTCTCTTCTGGAGACGTCCGTTTGGGAGTGACTTCTCTAGGCTCGCTCCTGAGAGAAAGGCACAGGGGGACCCCGCCCCCCACCCCCAGCTGAAGTCTGTCCTAGACCTCGAAGGCCAAGGACTGACCAGTTTAGAACCCGGGCCCTAGACGGTGTCCTGCACTTTCCGGTATTGGATGGCATGCTACCTCCGCCTGGAACCTGGCCCCGCACCTGCGAGTGTGCCCTGCAGACAGGCTGCAATCCTGGTCGACGAAGACTTGCACTGAGCTTAAAAGCGACTAACAAGGACTTTCACTGAGCTTAAAAGCTTTCTCTTTTCCTCTTTATCTGGAAGATATCTTGCTGTAGGTTATAGGGAGAGGAGAATTTTTTTTTTTTAACCTCACCCGAGGACATTTTTCCATTTTTTTGTTCAGATAGAGTGGGAGGGAGAGAGAAACATCGACGTGAAAGGGACACATCGAGTGGTTGCCACCCGCACGACCAACCAGGGCCAAAGACAAACTGCAACCGAGGTAAATGCCTTTAGCGGGAACCGAACCCGGGTCTCTCTGGACCGCAGGCTGACTCTCTAACCACTGAGCAAAACCGGCCTGGGGGAGAGAATTTTTTTAAGTATGATTTTTTTAGATAGATGAAGAAACAGAGAGACACATCAATGTGAGGGAAACATCCACCAGCTGCCTCCGGCACCCCTCTTACTGGGATGGGCCTGCAACCCGAGCATTGCCCTCGCTGGGAGTCCAACCCCAACCTCTCAGTCCACTGAGCCACACGGGCTACGCAGGGGCAGAGAATTTTGATTGTCCACGTTTTACAGGCGCGGAAGTTACTCCTGACCCAGCCACACCTACTACTTGGAGGTCCTTACAAAGCAGCTTTTGTGAAAGCCCATGTTGGTGGAATTCCCTCATCTTCTGTGCACAAAGCACTGGTATGGGCTGCTGTTGTCACCGTCATCTGGGATTCTCTTTGCTGTGCCCACTGAGGCTGTCAGCCCCTCCCTGGATCTCACCACCTTTGTCTCAGAAGGAAAAGTTACTTGAGGTGATATTTGAATCCTAGCTTTTAGGCAGAATTTGGAAATTAACACAAAGTTCTGGCTAAGATGCAGGACAAAATATTGGGGACCCCCACTACTGTTGGTCTCTGCACCTTTGAAGGCCACCTGAGTCAAACTTGTGACCTTTCTGCATCCCCTTGCGGCAGTCTCTCCCTCATTCAGGCTCCTCAGTACTCACTACCCAGACCTTGGAGCAGTTGTTAGTAGCTAATCTCTGCTTTACCCTTTCAGCCTCAGGGCATTTGCACTGGGGCTTCCCACCACATTAAATGCACAGCCCATCTCTGCACTGCCAGCTGAATCTTATCCTTCACTCAGCTGAAACACCCCATTCTCAGTCTTGCTGATCACTTTGTCTAAACTGGGTTCCCATCCACTCATCCTCTATCACTTTACCCATTGTTTATTTCCATCATAGAACTTTCATGTATTTGTTTACTTAGTCTCTACTTTTTTTTTTTCATTGAGAGAGAAACATCGATGTGAGAGAGACACATCGAGCTGTTGCCACCCACACGACCCTCACCAGGGCTGGGGACAAACTGCAACCGAGGTATGTGCCCTTAGTGGGAACCGAACCTGGGACTCTCTGGTCCATAGGCCAACGCTCCAACTGCTGAGCCAAACCGGCCAGGGCTAGTCTGTACTTCTTTATCATCTATCCCTTCTAGAAAATATTTTTTTAGTTTTTTTATTAATTTATTTTTGTTAAAGGTGTTTCTCCTTTTTCCCCCATTGACACCCTCTTCCCCATCCCCCCTCCCCGCCCAGTCCCCAGCATTGTTGTCTGTGTCCATTGGTTATGCATACACGCACATAAGTTCTGTGGTTTATCTCTTCCTTCCCCTCTCCACCCCCTCTTCTGAGGTTTGTCAGTCTGTACCCTACTTCTATGTCTCTGGGTCTATTTTGTTCGTCAGGTTTTTTTGTTCATTATATTCCACAAATAAGTGAGATCATGTGTTATTTGTCTTTGATGCTTGCTTCGCTTAGGATAATACTCTCCAGGTCTCTCTATGTCGTCTCAAAGGATAAGAGATCTTTCTTATAGCTGTATAGTATTCCACTGTGTATATGTACCACAGCTTTTTTATCCACTCATCTATTGATGGACACTTGGACTGTTTCCAGATCTTAGCTATTGTAAATAGTGCTGCTTATGAACAGAGGGGTACATATATTTTTTCTGATTGGTGTTTCAGGCTTCTTAGGGTACATTCCTAGAAATGGGATCACTGGGTCAAATGGCATAAACAATTCAATTTTTAAAATAAAAAATTAAAGTAAAATCTGAGGTGGGTAAGAGATATACACATTTTTAAACCTTAGTGATCAAACTGTTTTCTCTAGTTTGATGTGAGCAGGGAAAAAAAAAAATCCCCAACTCCCTATTCCCCAGCTATGGCCAAACAGGAAGAGTAATCAGTTGTAGGAAAGAGATTAAATAGCAAACTGCTGGAGCTTCACATTAGGTCCTTTCTTCTATGAAGTCTATGGGAGGAAAAACACAAAGTCTTAATTCTACAAGGCTGGATAGTCAGTAAACGTGAGAATCACCTATGGAATTTGGTAAAATTAAGATTCCTGGGCTCTACCACCAGGCACTCATTCAGCAGTCCTGGGACTGGTCCAAGAATTTGTGATTTTGAAAAATGTACTGGGTAAATTCATTCTGTGCTAGAAATTCAGAAATAAGTCTCCTGTACTGTTGGAACACAGGCTACCTTAACAATCCAAAATACACTCTGACACAGAGTGGCAATATGCTAAAAAAAGTCTGTATTTGAGCTAATCAGAGCATCCTTGTTTATCCCCAAAGATTAGAGTACCCTTCTTGTTCATCCCCAAAGATCAGGGCCACACTGGCTGGCTCACCTAAGCAGCTGTAGGGAATCACCATGTGGCCGTGGGTCTTGCGCTGCTTGTGGCCCCTCTTATACCAGTTTTGGGTGGTCACTGGCTGGTTGGCTTCCACCACATTGGTAATCTGCAGTTCAGGGTAGACCTGACAGTACTGCAGTGTGCCTTCCTTGGTGCCAATGCAGGGTTTGGTCCCCAATGGATCCTACCCCCACTTCCCATTCTGCATATTCATGTGCATGTTCAATTTGCCACAACACATGGTGACCTGGCGTTCTGCATTGCTGTCAGTGGGCACCTTCAGCACCCAAGCTGTCCAGGCAGCTAGTAGGACCAGTGCCAAACTGGACAGCAACGCGACCCTGCATGGGGCACCAAGTGCATTGTTGTTCGAGTGTGATCCGCTGCGCCCTTGTTCTGCCAGTGCTGCTGCCGGCGCTGTCTCCGGTGGCCCCTGCGATCGCACTGCTCTGGGTGCTCTCCCACTGCTGCCGAGGAAACTGACCTCCTTCTAGAAAATACTATTTCTGAGAAGAGGGACTTTGCTTTGTCCCTACCACATCCTGCATGTGTCTGTCGTGTAGATGGTCCACAACAAATACAGCAGAATTGGATAACAGATTTCCTGACTTAATCTCACATTCCACCTTCAGCCAGACAATTTCAGCCTCTGCTGTACACAGCTTCCCTCCATGTGTTTGCACACGCTGTACCCTTCTAACTGTCAGGTGTCCTTAAGGGCTCCACTGTTACTCTGCAACTCCAAACCCCACCCCTCACTGGGATGGCTGCTCTGTGCTTCCAATCACCTGTACTCTCTCTGTGATAGTTTATCTTGCTCTATTCACATCACTGTCTCATTCAAAACATTACAAGACTCAACGGCAGGGACTGTCTTTTCCTCATAGAATGCATAGCGCCTGGCTCAACGTTTTGACTGAGCAATGTTCTATATAATTCTGCCTGCCTGTGCCTCTTTTCTCTTTCCTTCCTGTCTTCTCTCTGTCTTGCCATCATTTCTCATTCCTGCCCTGCTTAACCCTTCTTAGGTCTGCTGATGATGCCCGGTAACTCTCATGGATGTTCTGAAATCCCCCTGGCAACTCTTGGGACTGAAGACTATACCGACCCTTGGAATGCTGTGTTATCGTGTTCCTGCGACACTTTATTTGCATATTTATTGATAATAGTGCCAACCACCATGCTAAATGCTTTGCAGATGCTATCACACTTAGTTCTAACAACTCCAAGAAGTGGGTACTATTATGCCCAGTACACAGATGAGGCATGAAGGAAATCCTAACCCAAGGTCCCACTGCTCATAAGTGAAGCTGGGATGCAAACTTTCAATGTCTCCATGACCACACTTTGATCTGGTTGAATCACGCAGGTAGAGATTGATTAATTGCCTCAACAATACCACCAATAAGCCCTAAACTTTGATTTGTGTAAACCACACTAGGCATGCCTTTTCTCTTTCAAGTCACAAGTAATAGCAATGACTCCGAGACAAAATGAATAATAAGGGGGAAAAAAACAATAAATGAGGAAGTACTGAATAAAGGAAGTACAGTTTTTGGTTGCTAAACCACTTTCAGGGTCTCACAAAGTTGAGATCAAACTACTTTGTAATCTTAATAACCTGCCAAAAATTTCTATTGTTTTTCTAGATTCCGCACACAGGGAAGACCCACATGGGGCTCATTTCCCCTTTCATGGAACCTGACATCCTTGGGACAGA